GGTGGGGGGGTGACGGGGACGGCAGTACGGGAACAGGCCAAACGTGAAAAAACAAAACAAAAAACAAAACAGATGGAAACTTAAAACTAACGCAGAACAGAAGACAAATGATGAAGGCAAACAAACTGATAAGGGAAACAAAACTTCAATGGACTGGGGGGTGGATTTAGAGTCAAAACAATGAAAATCATTTGTCGAGAAGATAAAACAGTAGATGTCCTTCCTGAGCCAAAGATCTTTATACACATTCCCGCCAGATTCCCAGGCAACGTCCTTCATTCTGTTCGAACCGTGGGTTCGTTGTAAATGGGTATATACTGTATCACAGGAAAAGGAGAATTTATGCTTTTAGACTGGGTGTTAAAGGCACTGTCACTAACACGCAGTGCGCGCTCGTTCATATACTGCGCACACGCCACATACTCCCACACACACACACACACACACACACACACACACACAGCCACAAGCTGACAGCTCTGCCGCCCAGGCAAGAGAGGGAACAGAAAGAGGAGCTTACCGTACGATCCTCTAAATACATGGTCTTCGACAGGAAATCTATTCCAATGGTTGCCTGCAAAAGAAGATGGCATGTCGCTTTACACAAAGACACTCAGCGCTTGTACTGAAGCACAAGCATGGGCCCCCAGCCCCCAGCCCCCAGCCCCGCGTGCAGATGGGACACCTCCTCTTGCCTCATCAGCTCTGGAAGCTGGCCTCACCGGGGAGAGCTCCTGAGGCTTTAATTGCAACAGCTATCAGCTCTGTCCATCTTTCTCAGAGGCTCAAACTTGAAGCCAACTCTAAAAATCCAATCACAAGCTCAACATCAAGTTCATGCTGATAGCGAAATATATATATATAGGTATTCTATTTATAATAGGTATTATGAATATATATAAACAGTAGTTATATATATTTACACCCGAAGAAGGTTCCACAACCGAAACATTGTGTTTCTTTTCTTCTCATCAGGGAATAAACCTTTACTTGTTCCTCTGCATGCAGACGCAGCTCCCTACTTGAACTATATATGTATGGGCGTTTAACAGAAGGCTAGAACCTAGATGGGCATTTGTGTACTGAAAGCAGGGTATCCTAGACAATGCAATAATATAATGTTCCTACTCTGTTCAAGTTCTGATTATTGATTGAATTCTTATTAACAAAAGTCAAAGAAATACATTCACATCTCCAGTACAATGTAGAGTGACAGTTCCCTCCTGCAAAGTCAGGCTACGGATTGTTCCAGAAGAGAAGGCTGTAGCTGCAGCCAGAGACCTGCTGGCTTCAGCCCCGCAGCCCCGGGAGGCAGACAGAAATGGCTCAACGCGCTGATTGGACCGGGGGGCCCTGGCACCGGCCAGTTTACCTGGTAGGTGTTGTCAAAGCTGTCGTACATGAACCTGGTGATGAGCGAGGTCTTCCCCACTGCAGGAACAAACACAGGGAGACTGGCCGTTAGCATCCGCGCGCCCCAAAGCCACAGGCCGCTGGGGATCCCCACCTGAGCGCAGCCCCCTGAAACCCCTACAGTGGGGTCCCACTGGCCACTATGGGGTTAGACAAAATCCTGCCCAGCTGAAACCGCCTGCTGCTCCCCACTGTCCAGCCTGAACCAAACTGGTGGGCTACCACTGCTGGGGGCTGTCCAGCTCCTGTCCTAGGGGTCCACTCGGCCTTGGGCCAGTCAGGCGGACACACTATCGGCCGGGGCCAGC